GGAGACGTTCGCCGAGTGTCCAATAAATCTTAAGTTAGGTAAGGTAAATATATTGCTTAATAAGTTCAAAAATTTAAGTCTGCAGCTATTGTTTGAAGAGACAGTTCGTGGCGTTTCTTAGTATCCATGCCTTTGTGGTGCCGGGGGAGGTTGGTGTACACGCCCTCATACACACACGTTCAAGAGCGTCCTTTGTGATGAAAAACTGTCTTCAAATTAGATTGACGTCTGTTAAGTCTTGTTCGGACTCTTGTGTGTCATTTACAAGGGTGTGGGGCTTTTTGGGGATACTTAGTCCTGAAAGGAGAGAGGGGCGCTGACCGCTCCTCCCTCAGAAGCAGATATTTACTGAAGAGAGTTACGGTGACCAGTGGCAGGTGAGGAGGGTAAGATATGAACGCCTCCCCCGGGATGTATCAGTACGGTGGAGTACACAGTTTACCTCAGTGTGTGTGTGTGGATATGGCGGAGGAAGGAGGGGGATGTAAACACACAAGCTCATAACGACCAACCATCGTTGACGGCCGCACCATTACCGCCACCTCTTAACTCTCGTCCTCGAACGACGTGTTTGTGTCGCCACCGCCGCCAGACATATTGGGCTCTTGTCTATGTTCTCTCAATATTTACGAAATGGAATAATGTCAGTAATTGTCGCATGTGGTGGTAATTTTTTCATTATATTTTATCGACGACGTGAAAATACGGCCGTAAGGTGCTAAATGCAGTAATTTACTTTGAAGGTATAAGGCGCCACAAAAGAACTAAATACCGTAATTAACCTTCATATACCTGTAAGAATAACTTATAAAAAATATACTTAACGACTCTCACAAGAGGTTCACAAACAAGGGTGAAGTGGAGTGTATCACAAGAGGATGACTTCAACTCACAGTAGAGAGAGCCAAGGACCCCTCCATCTGTGTCCCGTTCATTATGTAACACCTGTCTGTATTTGTATTAAGGGCGCAGGTATAGAGTCACAGTGTTCCTCCGCTCCGGGTGACTAGTATTATGGTCATGATTGTTACTTATTGTTTACATGTTATTTGTTGTGAACCTTGGTGTGTGTGTGTGTGTGTGTCACTGTTAAACACACACACACACCATGGAATCCCATCAGCTACACGGGTTCTGATTTTTTTCGCAGTTCATTCACCCACACCGGTAATTTGCCTATGTAGTCCATAAAACTAACTTGCTATGCGTGCTTGGTAGTTTGAGAAGGAATATCGGAGACCGCGTGGTTTGTGCTTGGGTCTTGCTTGGTAGCTGGTTTAAGGATCTGAGAACCACGTGGTTGGGGTGTGAGTTGTATTGTTGGCAGGTGGTGGAAGTGTCGTAGTTAGCGTGGGGACTGTGTTTGGCAGCCAGCCGGAGTGTCGTAGCCTCTGTTGGCAGGAGGGTAGAGTGCTAGTATCGTGGTTGTAGTTATCAGAGTTTATGTTGGCTACAGGATGAAGAGCTGGGGCCGTGGTTGTCAGTTTGGTGGAGTGAGAGAGAGAACCGTGGTTGGTTTGATTGTGGGAGAGGCCCGGCCACAAACGGCTCAGGGGACCACACTGACAAGACGTATAACAACCTGTTCCCAAGACCTCCCCCCCCCTCTCCTGGGCTACAGGGGATCCTACCCACTTCATCCACCTGTCTCACCCACCTACTTCATCCATCTCCACCTGCCTCACCCTGCTCCCTCACCATCTGTCCTGGCGCACCACTTCCCACGCCACCTGCCTCACCTTGGCCACAGGTGTCCTAGTGGTGGTAGTACGTGTTAGTCACCCTTCTTGTTGCTACTTGTGATGGCTGGCGCCTGTCACCTGCCACCGTCACCCTGGCAGTACTTCTCTGTTCCTAAAATGAGCAGCGCCTGTGTTCAAAATCACAAATATATGGAATAAATAGGAGAGGTGTATGTATCCGATATCAACCAGTTTGTGATGTGTGTAGCTGGGCTTCATGTGGCTGGCGGGCGTCGTGGTTGGCTCGTGAATGTTTGAGTGGGTGGGTCGGTAGGTGGTGTCCTTTCGAAATAATAATAATGATTCAAAGTAAAATCAATAATTTTGCCAGTTCAAGAAAACTTTTAGCTCTCATAATCTCTGCCTCTTAACTACTATACTATCAGAGAGGTGAAATGCCTCAGACCGGTTGAGTGATGTTAACGAGAACTTGTGAATTCAGGTCTGAGTGAAGTCTTGAGTGTGTCGTGTGTACGTGGTTGAGCCGTGAAGGTAAGCAATACATGACTGGGTTTTGACCTGTTAGGGCAGGAGTGGTGGGGGGGTGACCAGCAGGATGTGGGCGTGCTTTACAGATGAAGGATGTTTGCATTTGTGCATGATTGTGTGTGCTTGTTTTTTCATCCTTTGTAATTGTATTTTTATTTTCTTGTTGATGGGTGTTTACGTGTGTGTGTGTGTGGGTATGTAAATTGGCGGGCGCTCAGCTCTTAAATAAAAAAAATCGTGGGCAGCTGTGTGATCAGAGACAGTGCCTCCCCTTGTATTTTGGTTTCCTGTCGAGAGTGCTGCTGGAGTCCTGCCTATCGCCTCTACGGTGGTATTTTATGCAACGCACTGATGCAGTGACGCTAACCACCACCATACAACTCTTTAATCTATACTTAAAGGCGAGCTGTAGGGCGGGACACGTGGTCAAAGTAACTCGTGGCTTCATATTCCTGTAAACCAACGTCCGAATTCTTAGTTTGGTCTATAAATTACCTTCCAAGTTTTAAAGAGACGACACATTTAGGAAACAGCACACAGATGGAGGCAAAATAACGTCAAAATTACACTGAAACTTCATTTTGGGGATTAATTGTGTTATGAGAATCTGGGCGTGAGTAAGAGGAGGGTGTGATGTGGGCGTGAGTAAGAGGAGGGAGTGATGTGGGCGTGAGTAAGAGGAGGGAGTGATGTGGGCGTGAGTAAGAGGGATGAGTGGTGGGCGTAACACATACACGAGGGGAATTAACCTCATAACGCGCGGTGCTCTCCATTGGCTTCAGCTCCCACATTAAACAACAAAGGTCGGGGTGGGTGGCGTTGTGTCTCTGTGTGTAGGGTGACGCCTCCTCCCTCCCTTAAGTGTAGTGGTGTAGTATACATACGAGTTACACCAACCAGGAATACTCACTCGCTCACTCATCTTCACCACAAAACTATAGACCTCAGAAGCTTCAAGACCGGAGTTAAAAGGCTTGAATCCCTCTTAGTGATTCTTTGGGTTTATAGAACGATGGTTTATGTGGAGGTTATAAACGTGTTGTGTACTTGTATGATCTTGTTGTATCATGCACGTAAAGTAAGTGTGTGTGTGTGTGTGAGTAATAGGGGGAAAAGAATGATATACAGTTATTAAGATCTTTACCAGGTGACATAACAGTCAAGTAATACAGGATAAAGACAGATAAGAAGTTAGTTTGACTTGTATCAGTTTTCCAGCGTTACTTGTTTATAGGGGTGGAGGCCGTGGTAGGTTTTGGCAGGGCTGCTTCCTGTGAGAAACTAGCGAAGCGGGTCATTCACTTGACTCTCATATATTACTGAAGGCGACAGGTTAGTGTTTTATGTGGCTTTAAGCAACAGTAATGTAGGTCACTTTTCATGATATCAAAATGGACATGGAAGAGTCAGAGTAAGAATAGGTTGGCCACAGTGAGATACATTTTCCCTTCTCCATATGTCTCGGTTTGTTTAGACATAACAGCCTCTTCAAACAGGTGTGAAGAGCTGCAGGTGTGTTCTGTTCACGTTGTGTTCTCTGAATCCCCTTAGCTCAGTGGGCGCACCCCAACAGCCTCAAAATCAGGTCAGATTTGAGGTTATTTGTGGATGTAGGCGATGGGATTTTTGACCTATCAGGGAAGACTGTGTTGTGCGGAAGTACTTGAGGCTGCTCTATGAACCTGCCTACAGTTGTTGGTGGGCAGTTGGGGCATCAGCTGTAGTCGCTGCCCTTTGCCAAAATACCTCTCCCGCTACTCCATTTTGCTCAGTGTTTGAGGTGAGGGAGTGTGGTGCAGCCTGCCTTGAGTGTATGGTGGCCGGCTGTACCTGTCTAACAGGTGGTGGTGACCTGGGACTCACGGTGAGTGTCAGAAGGTTTAAAGAAGAGAAGCGGAAGGTGTCAGTGTTGTGACCGTGGGCCGGGCACATGCCAGAGGGCGGTGGAGCTATTTGAGTCAAGGGAGTGTTGGCGTGCGCGGGGCACCAGTGGCACCGTGACGCTGCCCGGGGGCGCATCGTGCCACCAGCCCCTCTCCCCTACCCGTTCTAGTGTCGACCGCCAGAGTGTCATGTTAGTGTAATCACTCGTGTCATCAATCAGCGTGAGCACCGTGTGGAGGACCACACTGACGCCACCATGGAGCGTCGGGACTCCCTCACCGACAGTGAGATGGAGGGAGAGTCTTTCTCTGAGTGCTACTCTAATTTACCCATGGAAGACAGTGTGGCCTCAATAGGAAAGGACCCCCAGTCAGTATACCCAGAAACACCCGTAAAACCTCAGTTTCCTGGATCACAACTTTTGCGCCCTAAAACCCCACACACCAGAGAGGTCTTACGCCGGTCAAGTTCCAAGCGGCAAGCGCCCCAGCCGCCCTCCAGGCCGTCGCCAAGCACCACGCCCGTACCCATAACTATGCCCGTACCTAGCAGCACCCCATTGCCCAGTACCACCACTGGTCCCGTCACCACCGTACACCTACAGATCTCCTCCGCCTCGCCCCCCAGTCAGCCAGTGACACATCAGTCCCCAGAGCACGCTCACCGGCTAGCTACGATCGTCAGTCAACCTGTGCACCCCCTACACGCGGGTGCCACTGCCGAGGCCACACCTGTGTCACCCCCGCACTCAGTGTCTTCCTCCCGCCCGTTGACCAATACTAGCCCCATGACTCCCCCACGCCCCATGTCTCCCCCACGCCCCATGTCTCCTCCGCGCCCCATGTCCCCCTCGCGTCCCATGTCCCCTCCGCGCCCCATGTCCCCTTCGCGTCCCATGTCTCCCCTCCCCACGCCCCATGTCTCCCCCACGCCCCATGTCTCCCCCTTGGTCGGTGGCAGATGGTGAGAGGGTGGCACCTCCTACGCCACAACGGTCAGAAACTTCAAGGAACTACAACAACCTTATGATTCGTCTTATAGATGAAGAGTCTGACTCTGATACCTACCAGTCAGAATCATTTGATGAGCACATAGTGTTCCAGAATCAGTTTACACCCGGAAGACCTCAGGGTGCTGGCGGCCATCAGGTTGTGACCCCTTCACAGCACCTGGCAATGCCCTCCCCTGCACAGGTCTTCACCCCACAGGTATCACAGATTATGACCTCGCCATCACAGTTCATGACTCCACGGGCACAGTTGATTATGACTTCTCCCGGACAGGTCATGAACACCCCTGTTCAGGTCATAGCCTCTCCCCAGGGTATGATCGCCCCGCCGAGGGTCACTTCTGCTCACGCCATCACTTCCCACATACCACAGACAGTAGCATCATCACAGGCCATGATCAACCCCGCACACAATTTAAGAACCAACTTTGTCCAAAATGAAGATGTGATTCTTACAGATGAAAATAACTACCATTATTCGGGGAGTTTGAACGAATTACCTTCATCGTCCCATATGGAGGACGAGGCGGAGGAGACGCTGCAGAGGGGAAGCAACCATGTGATGGTGACGCGGGGCAGAGCCAGGGTCCTGATGCACTCTGCCTCTGATCCGGGGGTATCACGACCCCGTCACCAGCACCTGCAGCAGCACCACCCGCGAGCCCCGGGCATCGCTGTGCCCCCGCCCCTCGACCACCTCAGTGAGGAGGAGGTGGGAGAGTCTGACTGCGACGGGTATGAGGACGTCCCGCGGGGAGGCAGACTACAACGAACAGACTCGGTGCTGACGGTAGCTCACCTATATGAAGACCTGCTGGTGTCCACCCGCTTCCGGTTACGTGTGACGCTCACCAACTTGACAGCTGTGGTGGTGGTGGCCGCCCTCGTCGTGCCCAACACATCTACCATTCTCTTCACCGCCTTCAGGTATTCACTCCCACCACTCTTCACTAACACCGAACCAGGCTAACACTGCACCCGCTCTGCAGTTGGTTGTGACTTGGACGCTATTAACCCTTGTGTGCTGCTTCATGGGATAGCACTTTGTGTGTTCTGAAAGGAGTAATTTTGTATTGTGTTCGTAGATGTCGTCGTGCTTGAGTATGTTGTTTAGCTTTACTACTGAGTGTTTGTACAAATGTTGATGTTTATTGTTAAACTAGTTTGGTGTGTTGTTAAACTAAATGTCGTAATTCCTCGTAATACTCACTTTAATTATATATCATACGTGAGTCACTGTGTGTATGTCCTGGCACCAACGTGTGTCAGTGGTGTGTTGGAGTCGTGGTGCTAAGTACTACTCCAGGGTCTTCATCCCCGGAGTTAATGTAGTAAACACTTTCTCTACTGTTTCCAGGAATCGATATTCATAAAGTAAATCTTAGAAAATTATTAAGAAGGTAGTTGCTGACTGTTTATCGTAATATTTTACTGATGGCGAATATCGAGACCTGGAAGTACTGAGAGAGAAGTTACTTAGACTTAAATTTACGTAATTACAGTTTTTTTTTTAATTAAGCTGATAACTTTTTCACGAATTTTTGTGACATCTATTTCATTAAATATTTGTTATCTGTGTCTTAACAATTGTAATATATCCGTGTGTTAGGGCACATAGTAACTGAAGTCGGCAGGTAAGTTGAGCATAGTGTGAGTATGAATGTTTATGTTAGCGAGACATGTACGGTGTTGGTGTTAATGACAGCTTAGAAGATCCCGGTGAAGGTGTGCCAGGTGCTGCCTTTATTTGTGATGTATTTTACGTGTCTCATATACAAAGCCCAGACTATTTTTATCTCTGGGTGTATGTGCCAATTCCTTCCTACACCAAGCACAAAGGTTGGCCAGGTATATGCTCGGTGAAATACTGTAAATATCAGAGTTGTCAGTGGGTGGGTGGATCACTTTATGTGTATTGTAGGTAAGCGGGAGGTTAATTTTTTATGTGGGTGGAGGTTCAGTCAGTGGAAGTGGCAAGGGATGGAAACTCGTCACAACCCTCGTTACCAGCCACTCGAAAAAAAAAAGGATAAATGGTTAGGGAAGAGGCGTCCAATAATTATGGAAACAGTAGTTTATTCTTAATTATTTTAGAAGACGCCCTTCAGAACAGAACCTTCGTTACCTCAGCCACGTACACAGAACGTGTTGTGTGTGTAGCCAGTCTCCCTCCTGTACCATTGCCAGCGTCAAGCTTCTGAATAATTCTGGATGAGGTGAAGAACTTTAACTCTGTCTTTACCTCAACCAATAGTAAGGTTTTAGGGTACATTTATACTGTGTAAAAGGAGAGAGTTATGCGGATGATCACTTTAAGAATGTGAAGGATGTTGAGTCCGTAATAACTACTGGGCTGCCAGCCAACAGTAGACCTGTGAGGGCGGCGTTAATATAGGCCTTGGTAATGGACGTGGGGGATTCAACAGCCTTTCTCAGCACGGTATAGTTACCAACTCACCGGCTACGTTAGAGAGAAGGATCAATGCTGTTTTGAGTTATTTAGTGTTGAAACCTGAAGTCTTGTGTAGCTTCACTGTTATTATTACTTCACACAAAATCCAACAAAGGTCTTTGAACACAATCCTGCCACAAAAGAGATTATATTGTTAGGTGTTATGGAGAAACATTTCCAGTTAAAGGCGGGTGCCAATACGTGACTGTTGGAGCGTCAGTGGGGGCGGGTGATGTTAAGGCGACAACCGCGTGTGGAGGTCAAGCAGCAGGGGTCACTGTTGGTGGTGTATACATGCATATATATAGACCAGGCGGTTGTGGTGTTGCAGGATTTTGCAGCTGCGTCCTGGTGGCTGGTGTGAGTGTAGTGGGTAATTGGTATACAGAGGACAGCAGCAGGACCCAGCATGGCTTGGCTCACGGCCAGCCACCACCCGCGTCACCTGGACCCACACTGGGGTAAATCTAACTCAGTTATGATGTTGATGTCCCCACGCACACAATCTATTCCTCCTTTGATCGTACCATCGCCGGCAATGTGCCAGATTGGGTCAAAAATCCCCGGGGAGTTCCATACATATTCAATCAACCAGCCCTTGGGAACCAAACTCCGTCAACCAGTATTCCGTCGGCAGCCTCACTCAGATGGTCAGCTTCCTAACCGTATCCTCCACTGTGTTATCCCTCTACCACGCCTGGCTCCTTCTAAACATCAAAGCCGGAGTGAGGGGTGTGGGTAAATGAGTTAATCACGGGGGTATTTTATTCCTAGGTGTGATTTGTGTGTGTGTGTGTGTGTGTGTGTGTGTGTGTGTGTGTGTGTGTGTGTGTGTGTGTGTGTGTGTCCCCCCTTGCGCCCATGACAGTCCCCTCTCCATCCAGCTCACCTGTGTAAATAATAATCCATCATCTCGCGCCGTACATTTGATCTTGTACTCGGGCACCACAGGCTCGCCTCCCCGCCACGGCAGGTGTAAGAACTCTGTTAGCTAAACTGTGTGGAACTTTATTGATTTTTCATATCCCCCCCCCTTTTTTTAGATCCCAATTGACATATAAAGTTACTTGATTTGTTCGATACTGTACTACTTTTAGGAACATACTTTTTTTTTTTTGACTATTGAATAAAATTAGTGTTTCTGTAGGATTAATAACTTGTTAGTATTATGTCACCTTTGAATCCCCAGAATTTAAACATGTACAAACATTTAGGTGTGCTTGGCAGATGAATGTGTTAGTTCAGATTTTTAGGCCATACAATCACTATAAGAGTTGTTTTTACACACACACACACACTCACACCGTATATATTATGTAGTTCTGTTTGTGTTCTAATATCAGTAACTATTCTCATTTGATTATAATATGTTATACAGTATTGACTAATTGCTCCTTTGTCCAATGTGTTTTTTGTGCTCTACTAATATTAAAAAGATAACGAAAATGTTCTCCAGCTCCTGTACCTCTGTTTATCTATTTCTTACATGGATACCATTCTGAAATGAAAGAATTGTTATTATATTTTATTATTATTATTATTATTATTAGTAGTAGTAGTAGTAGTAGTAGTAGTTTGTTAGTCTGGGTAACATGTAACTGACTGTGTTTCTTGTGTTTACAGATTAGTGTTTGGGACGTTGTTCCCGGCCTACTATTCCTACAAGGCTGTCAAGACCAAAAACGTAAAAGAATACGTAAGTATTGTGTCCATCACAGAACGTTATGTTTCTTATTACTGCAGCTGCTGTTTCTCATACGTGTATGTATTTAAAAATGAAGAAAAGAGGCTTTGAACATTTATCATATACCTTTCATATCATTGTTATAAAGATCTGAATTGAATAGATTGGTTTTGTGACTGAATATAAACCACCTTTTAGCTACCCAGTACATATTTAAAGTCATTTTAATAGTAAACCTTTAGATTTTTTTTTCTGTCAACCAATACATAACTGCTTTTGCTTTTATCAATGGTAGCAAAATGTATAATGGAATATGTTATTATTTTGGTGAGGTCAACCATTTCCCCAGCTTTATTTATCTAGTTTTCATTGGTATCAAATAAAAGTCCATCCAGATCAATTGAAACCAATTTTCGTAATACAGTTTCGCAACCGATTCATCTGTCATATAAATTCAGTTGAAACATAGCCGTGTAAACCAACTTTATAACCCATGTGTGTGTGTGTGTGTGTGTGTGTGTGTGTAAGGGTCTGGCACTCAATGGTCTGGCACCTCCAGTGTTCGCAGAGGGATTGTAGGTTAGGCGGAACATGACTTCGAGATAGGAACTGACACACACTACCTTCCGACCACCTGTCTTGTCATCCTGATCTCCTGTGATGTTTTGAGTAATATAGTATTTAGATTTTATTGATATCGATTTTAATATTTAGTGCATTCGTTCGTTGTGTTTAATGTATCCGGTCTAAGGAATTTTTAATTATACAGTTTAAATAATAGTGTTTATTCTGTATTTTGTCGTATTCAGTATTCATTTATCAGTTTAGATTTTGGGTTAGTCGACGGGAAGAAGTTAGTTCAATGTTCGGCAACGTGACACAGGTGAGCTGAAAATAATCATCATCGTATAAAAGAGAGCTGTGGTAAATAAACAATTTTAAATATCAAGATGTTTAAATATCGTATAGACATCTGATACGTTAAGATTAGTGGTAAAAAAATACTCGGCATTCAGTGGTAAAAACACAAGAGACTATCGGCATTCAGTGGTAAAAAACACAAGAGACTATCGGCATTCAGTGGTAAAAAAAACAAGAGACTATTGGCATTCAGTGGTAAAAAAACAAGAGACTATCGGCATTCAGTGGTAAAAAAAAAAGAGACTATTGGCATTCAGTGGTAAAAAAACAAGAGACTATCGGCATTCAGTGGTAAAAAAACAAGAGACTATCGGCATTCAGTGGTAAAGAACAAGAGACTATCGGCATTCAGTGGTAAAAACAAGAGACTATCGGCATTCAGTGGTAAAAACAAGAGACTATCGGCATTCAGTGGTAAAAACACTATCGGCATTCAGTGGTAAAAAACACAAGAGACTATCGGCATTCAGTGGTAAAAAAAACAAGAGACTATTGGCATTCAGTGGTAAAAAAACAAGAGACTATCGGCATTCAGTGGTAAAAAAAAAAGAGACTATTGGCATTCAGTGGTAAAAAAACAAGAGACTATCGGCATTCAGTGGTAAAAAAACAAGAGACTATCGGCATTCAGTGGTAAAGAACAAGAGACTATCGGCATCAGTCATCAATGGGTTCTGTATACGGTGAAGGAGGCTACCTGGAAGGCGTGTGAAGGGTGGTAATTTATCTGGTTTTGTACACTTTAAAGAGGAAAACAAGGCGAGAGTAACACAAAGTCAGTCAGTTGTGATGAAAGGGTGTTGTTTGTACGAGTTAGATGAATGTATAATAACAGATGGTGTCGTGTTATATACAGTTCTTTCTCCATTAGTGTAACTTTAAAGGGAGGGAAGGAGAGAGTTATGGACCACGCCTCTTTAAGTCCTAATATTTATACTGTTTTGTAAGGCGCCTCGAATACCAACGTAGATAAAAAACAGATTCATTCATTTTTTCAATCAGTAGAAGCCGGAAGACTTTTGTTAGGGTATGTTTCTTTCCACTGTCTGAAGAATTTTCTGTCATCTGAGTTGTGAAGACCAGTTTTCGTGTTGGGCTGCTCTCTTGTGTAATTGAATTTGGACTGAGAAACGTTATGCTTTAGTGTTGTTTAGAGAGAGAGAGAGAGAGAGAGAGAGAGAGAGAGAGAGAGAGAGAGAGAGATCATCTGCAGGTCTTGAGCCAAACTTATGACGCATCTTTTAAGGGTGTGTTTACTGTATGAGATGGAGCGAATCGGAGACCACTTTTACGAAATGACTTTAATGAATCACTGTCATTTAAGAGTTAGATAATTCTTTCTTATTGTATTATATTTTAAAATAATCTTATGAACTTTGGAGAATTGACTTGTGATGAGTATTGACCAGGGCTTGTGTGTGTGTGTGTGTGTGTGTGTGTGTGTGTGTGTGTGTATTTTGGGTTAAAAAGGTTATGGTGTTGGTGATACTCGGGTCCCCCTCCTTCCTTCACCCACCCACCCACCTCCACCCACCCACCCACCCACCTCCTCCACCCACTCTGCCTGTTTAGCTGCCTCTTCCCCGTTCTTCTTGTGTTGATTGTGATTGTTTTTTATATTTTCTCCTCATTGAATATAAAGAGCGTATAGTGACTCCCTGTTCGTTGGATGTCTGTCGTGTCTGTCTACCATAGTCGTTGGTATTTAGTCACCCAAGAATAACTTTTTGGGTCAGAATGAGAGTTGGTCCACTGCTTCATATCAATAATAATTAGATTTAGTGTAATATTCCAACTTCATTTACTGACATGTGTTGGCTTATTTTGGTATATAAATTGCGGCGGCTTGGGTAAACATCACCTTCAGTAATAGTCTAGTTATAATTTGCATATACTGTAAAGAGTTTGTTTTATATGCCAACAGCTCTAGGGCCTTTACATGTGCCTCCTAATACATTTAAACTCAGGTGGACTAAACCATTCTCTTTACACGTGAAACACAGCAGTGACGCAGATAAAACAGTTGATATTCACAGATGACGTATATAAACATTTTGCTTATGTTGCTAGTGTTATTGTTCCACCAGGTGATAATAATTAACCTGATAGTTACCTGTGTTAGTGTGGCTACCTTCCCCATAGTGTTGCGTAAGACTCACTGTGTACCTGAGTGTGTCCAGGGTACTCATTCAGTCAGACCCGTCATTATCCGGAACACCACTCTGCCATTGTGTTTATCTTAACGTTGTCGATGTTGTGAGTACTGTACTTGATGAGCTTTCACACTCTCTCTAAGTCACTGTTTTCGTAGCTATGTGTGTCCTACTGAAAATAAACATGTGGTTGTTTTGTCGATTGCCCTTGTTTGAATTGACTTAGTGTTTGCCATTATTTGTATACTTGCACTGTCTGAAATTTCTGTTCATCTGCGTGTTACTTGATCAGGTGTGTCTGTGACCGTGTGGAGTGTAACCATGTGTCACGCGTTTTAATTAGTGGGGAAAACATTTTGAGGACCTTGATGTGATCGATGTTGGTGAATTTTGTATAAATGAACGAACGATATTGTGTTGAAGTTGACATGTAGTGGGAAGAAAGACTGTGAATGCGTGAGGGAGGGAGATTGGGGAGTAGGAAAGGATATACAGAGAGAGAGAACAGGCAGGGAGGGTGTTGAAGGCCACTACAGCCGGAACATTTTCCATCAGACTGCCAAGCTCGCTGGCCGTGAACCAGCCCAGCTGATCACTAAGCGAAGATAGTCACACGTGTTTATTTTGCACCACAAGTACTCGAAAATAGTCTCCTAAAGAATTATATTATAAAGTCTCCTGCATACCCCGTCGTAGCCTTGTCTTGACCACTGACTTTAAGGTATTTTGATGTGAAGACTTATTGGGAGTTGTAGTTTGATAAAGTAATAAGGTGTCCGTAAAGTTATTGATTGGTGTTTGGTTTTGTTATTCTTTCACTTACAGTTATAGATGGATAGAATATATGTATAGATACGCGTTCATAAAGCTTTGGGAGTTCCCTTTACGGTTGGGATTATGTTAGGTAAGTTTATGCCAGATCTCTCGTGTGATTTTTGGAATTTGACGGACTTTCTTTAGCTATACCATTTTATACTCTGGTCACTTATAATGGGAGCCAAGTAGTACATATCAGAAGCGTATTGGAATCATAAAGAAGAATAAACACATGTATTTTACACAACTTCTCCGTTAAGTCTATCTCGAAATTAAGAGACCGTAACCTTGGTCATGACGGCTGGCAAGCAAAAAACAGGCCCTCTGACGTGTGGTGTTTTGATTGGTTGATAAGCATCTAAGGCACACAACTATAATTAGAATAAGTAGTTACCCTACACTTGGCAAGTGGAGGGTAAGTCCATGTGTAGCGTTGCTGGTAACAACAACACGTGTGATTACTGCCATGTGTCGTGGTATCTGATATATGGTAATGAAACCTTTTCTCGAGTACAAGTCTGAGTTGAGATTGTTTTATAGTAAATGGTGAGTAGAGTGCATTGGGCTGTGAGCAGCCACTTGGTGCAGATGCAGCAATTACTGTTAAGTGGCAGTGGGAGGGGTGCGCCCTCCCTCACCCTCCACCACCAACATCTTGTACACGCACACCTCCCACACACTGTAGCAAAAGTCAACATGGATTATCTTCATCTGATATACTTCATGATAACATGTCTTGGTTGTGAAGTCTGTTTCAACTTTGAGGGTACGAAACGGCTCTGCCTTCTACATAAAAACACAATGACTTGTCCACAATTAAAAGATCCTTATACAGGCATATCATGTTTAGTTTTATCTTGTGTTCTAGAACAATTAGTTGTTAACGATCAACTTCCTGCGTTGATTAATCACAAAGTTGATTTCCGTGTTGTTATTTTTTAGAACTCATTACAACTCCCAAGAATGACAAGGCTTAGACTAGTTGATACCTTGTGAGGAGAACGGTGAGGGGCGGAACCAGGATACCTTTAACTCTCCTCACTTCCTCACTCTCCGGGAAAGGTTCCAAGTCTTGATCTGTTTACACACTGTGACAGGAAGACTTCACCCCCGTTTTATCTTTACAAAAAATATAAAATATATACCTGTATATATTTTTTGGGGAGGAACATGTAATTGTCGTCGCAGTTTGTTGTTTGAATCATAGAATCGTACTGTACGTTAATGTGATTTAAATAGGACTTTATCTCATAATTCTCAGTTGTTGGTGGACTTGTGTAATTACTAACCTTGTTGCGCTGTTGAAGAACAGTATTAAACTTATAACATGAATTTTTTTTTAGGATCGTACGATAGTTATTTGTAATATTAAATGTATACCTCGAAGCACCATATGCGTAATTGCAGTTTGTTCTATTGTCTATATACTATACCTTCATATCAATTGTGAACCTAATAATGGCCGCCTTAACCACAACACCTTTTTTCTTTATAATGTTTTGTTTGTATATTGTGGAATTGTCAGTGTTATTAACTTAAATTATATTTTAATTTATGATAACCGTTCAGCTGTAGGTTCAGTGCAGATAACAGCAGGTGGTTGATGAGTTGGGGCAGCTGAACCTTTATGGTAGGTACACGTGAGGTGTGGCCAGGGAAGGGAAAGATAAAGACTAGAAAAGAAAGGAGGAAGAGTAGGGGGGGGAATCTAAGAGAAGCAGGGGGGGAAACCGAGGAGGTGGTCGTGGCAGCTGAGAGAGAGAGAGATCAGGTGATTCACTGTAGCGGTATGTCCTCATTATGATCATTATTGTGTGTCAGCAAGGTTCCCACCACGGCCAAATGCTCCCTTCTGTGTTGCACATAGGCACCTCCACTTACACACTGGCTCAAGATATCCATATGTCTGTTCTGATTTACAAGTGACGTATCTGTCATACCTGTAAGGGCAAGAAACTTTCCCTCGGGAACTCCTCCGCCTTGGCAGGTTTAAATTTAATATCTTGTGATTTAAAGTGAAGTGAAAGTGAGCGATTTAATCATAAAGTGGAAAAAATATCTCAGTCTTAGTCCAACAAGAGAACCTTTCTTCTCGTGTACTGTTGCAGTTGGTACTTTTTATATATTTAAGAAGTGAACTTTTGTTGTGAGAGTGAACACACTTTCAATCCATGACAGGTCAAAATAGGTTGTTTGAAACTGTAAAGCTACGGGATATCAAATTTGTGTATTGAGTATTAAGTTTCATGTATTGAAGTTTAAAGTGAATATGATATTTTATCAGTATCAATTAAATTTAGTTACAGGTTGACAATCCCATATCCGAAATCCTTGGGACCAGATGCATTTCGGTTTTTGAAATTTTTCGGCTTTCAGAATGGTTAGGGTTTTTTTATTTTTTTTTTATTTTTTTTATTTTTTATTTTTTTATACACAGGGATCAGCCCACCCGGGCACAGGTCACTGACCCACATTGGGGCTAAAATATAATAATAATAATAATAATTCATAGGTCTAGGTCGTGTTTCTCACTTTTGATCTTTTTTTTCATTCTTGTATTTCTTTATTATTATTATTATTATTATTTTATTATTACAGTATTATTGTTCTTATTATCATTGTTATCATTCTTATTTTATTTTTGTGTATTTTTTATTAAAATTTTTATTTACTATGAATAGTTATTATTATTACTGTATTATCATTATTATTGTTATATAATTATTATTACTATTACATTTTTCCCCCAGGCCCGATGTGGGTCAGTGACCTGTGTTGGGCTGTTACAAAAAAAAAAAAAAAAAAAATTGTTCCACAAAAAACTCAGTTTTCAGAGCTTTTCGGTTTTTGAAATTTCGGATAAAGGGTTGTCAACCTGTAGTGTCATGGTTGAAAGAAAATGGAGGTCAGCTTTCGAACTTTTACACGATTATTTAATATTCTTTGAACTTTATATTGGAATTAATTTTCATGTATTAAGCCGATGAAATTAAGGATTACAGTTTCGAGGCCTTAAGAAAATTAAGTTAGTTTTAAGACTAAGGTCAATAAAAACAATTCCAAGTTTCTGAGCCTTTTTTTTTTATAAGCGATGTCAATTTATCAGGCCACGGGAACGTTCGAATCACCTTAAGATACCCCCACCCCCCGTTGCTTATTTCACCTTAAGATTAATCACCCTAACGTAACCCCCAGCTTATTTTACCATAGGATTAACCACCCTGACTCTAACCTTATCTAAACCCCTGTAGCATTAGGGTAGTTAATCTTCAGTTTAATGTGGTCATCTATAGAGAGACTGTACATATTCCCCGCGATAAAGGATATTAGTGTTGGAAGCTTGAGACGAGATTAAAAAGCCGACTGCCCGAGACTTTGAAGATGTTGCTAAAGTTAAAAGTTCTTAACTCAAGTTTTAGAGGAAGTTTGGGTTTATGTCTCAAAGTTTTAAGGAAATACATATATGAGATGAAAAAATCATGGTTGTATGTAAAGGGGCAATTGAGTGTTAAACTGGATTATGATATTAAAACCGGTCTCAAGGTCATCTAGTACAACACTCGTTACATTAAATATGGTTATTTGTGTGGCTCGTGGCTCTGTAAGGAGTGCGGAGGTTAACTGGAGCGTGACTGTGGAGCCCTGCAGTAGAACCTTCCACAACCTCTTGCTAGGACTCGCCACCAGCTGGACTGTCCGTGTTGTTGGTAGTCCTTCAATGTAGGTGAATATTCATGATTGGCTTCAGGAGTGTTGGTTGACTGATATGAGAGTGTTTTTAACTGGGTTTGTGAATACTGTATTGATTAAATGTTATAACTAGCTTTACTATGTTGGTTAAACGTTTAAATATGGTTATAGGAACTCTTAAAACTGTATCTACTAATTTTGCTTGTGTGTTATTGGGTAATTGTGATGGTCATAGCTATGAAAAACTCGTTAATCTAGGATAACAAAATAAGGTGTTTCGCTCTTGGTATAAGTTTATGCTTTAAAATTATCAGCGCACTGACGGCTCAGACAAGCGCCACTCCACATACACTCCCTCATAACACAGCCCCACTCCACATACACTCCCTCATAACACAGCCCCACTCCACATACACTCCCTCATAACACAGCCCCACTCCACATACACTCCCTCATAACACACCCCCACTCCACATACACTCCCTCATAACACAGCCCCACTCCACATACACTCCCTCATAACACAGCCCCACTCCACATACACTCCCTCATAACACATCCCCACTCCACATACACTCCCTCATAACACAGCTCACATAAACACCACCACCACCCCCGCACCTGCACCAGCTGGCATCATTGCTGCGCAGTGAGGAGCCCTAAACGTAAGTGGGGTGGGCGGGTGTCCTTCTGCTCGATAACCCCCGCCCCATGATGCCATTGTGCCTTGGTGGTTGTATGTATACTACAGTACATCTTAGTTGACTGTTTACACACACACACACTAAAATTAGATAAGCTAAAAGTACTTGTGCCTGGCATTCATTGTGTTGAAAACTGAAGAAAAAATGCTTTATTTACTGAACTGTAGATGATTAATAGATGTAAGGGAATTTTTAATGTCAGACAGATAATTTATCATCATTAAAATTGGTAAGAGGCGTTTCTATCATTTGATTGTAAAATATATTTTCTTTTTGTACAGTTGAGGATTTAAAGTGTGGTGAAAAAATAAAAATATATTAAACTACAGTACTGTCATTCAATCAGTCTTTTGGTTTATTTGGAAATATGCCAAATGACACAAATAGTGATAGAAGCACCCAGATATTTTTGTGCCTATATACTGTACAGGTATTTCATAAAAATGCAAAGTTTTGCCCAATAAAAAGAACAACACTTTTGTGTGTGTGTGATTGTAATACTGTACAGTGTTTTTTCTCTTATCGTTACAGGTAAAATGGATGATGTACTGGATAGTATTTGCATTCTTCACATGTTTCGAAACACTCACCGATCTCTTCCTCAGTTTCTGGTTTCCCTTCTATTACGAGGTACAGTATGTTATAAATAAACTCAAGTGATATAATTTACTCGGTGCACTATACATATTTTCATGCTTCATTTAAGATCCTAGATGTATTTGCTAATGAAATAAAGACAGACTGTACTGTACTTATCATGCATTTTAGGTGGCATAACAGACTTTCCTCCGCAGCTCAAGATTTTAGTGGTGCTGTGGCTGTTGTCTCCAGCCACCCGGGGGTCATCCATTTTGTACCGCAAGTTTGTACATCCATGGCTGACCCGTCGAGAAGATGATATTGATAACTGTATTGCTCAGGCCAAGCAACAGGGCTACTCCACAGTCATACAGCTGGGCACCAAGGGCATGAATTACGCCACCACGGTCTTAATGCAGACCGCAATTAAGGCAAGTCGAGGACCCCAGGCAAGTGAATTAAGGAATATACAAGAGTCCTGCTTGTAGGTGTCATCTTAATCTTAACCCCATTTTCTTCTTATTACTAAATAGTAAATGTCTCTCGAATACAGTAGATGTTATAGTATATACAGTACAGTATTGTGTTTTTTAATTCTGCTGACTATGATGTTACCCAAACTTACAGATACATTTTATTCATTTGATCTTAATGTTATGAAGCAAGTCTTTCTCAACTGAAGGCAGGGAGACATTGTTTTAACTTTTTTTTTTTTAATATACAGAACAGTAATTATTTCTGTTACTGTTACAATATTGCCCATTTCTTTCAGTGCACATCTCTGAAATCACTGAAGTTATGCATGGTAATTTTGGAAAAATCATATTGGTAAAAAGCTCTTTTCTTTTATAAGAACCAGTAATTTCTTCCCTGGGTGGAGGTGATCTAAGGAGAGCAGGAATGAGTGGGTGGTCATATGATTATATTGTTCACTCTAGAGAGAATAGTACCTTATGGGACATTCATCAGCCTTCTCATTTACAGTAGCTATGAAGTGAGGTAGGATGCTAGGAAGGGTTACAGTACTGCGTACAGAGGACTTGGACATAATGGTTAAAAAAGTTTTGGGACCAAAAAATCATTAATCTTTTTCGAGGTAGAAATGAACTGTGTGCATAGACACAACCACAGTAAACTTAAAAAAAAATTCCTTCTACCCGGTAATCATAAAAATAAATTGCTCACTTTAAAAAGTTGCCAGCAATTTATCAGTAGTGTCTGGCTGTTTAGAAATGAGAAGGCTGCTTTATGCATGCAATTGCTTGTAAATACAACTTCTTGTGTACTGTATTAGCATTTTTCTTCAATTTTGAGAAGATTGGCCTATTTATAGAAATAAGAAATGCAACGTACAGTAATTACACAACAACCTAGTTGGTGGTATACCACAAATTCTCAGACTTTGCTGTCTTTCAAAGATTGTGATTATTTTACACACAACACTGACAGGATATATTACATTTTTTTTATTAGAGAAATAGCCCTTAACCTTAATGTCATTGGAGCAATAGACAGGTGTATATTTGTGCCCCATTTATCCTTATGAACTTCACGATCACTTTATGTTGAATCCTGTTGCATCTACGATGCAATTACTCATAATGTCAGTGCAAGTTTGATCAGTGCTGGCATTCATAGTGGTGATAAATGTGAGCATTTAATATCATTATGACTACTAAGGTCACTTGTTCTTACAATGACTCCAGCTGTTTCATCACTTTATAATGACTACAACTACATCATTACTACTCATATTGTCCCCAGACATCTCACAAAACCTCCAAATACTACCAGGATCTTTATAGATATTCATAAAGGCACCAGTTGCTGAATAAATTGTATGATAAAAGCCAATGCCCCACAAGTGTTCCTAATGATGCCATATACCTCACATACTCATAGTGAACCCAAATGCCTCACAGGTGTTCAGAGTAACACCAGGTATTACACAATTACTTGCAATAATGCTGGGCATTTCACAGGTGTTCATAATGTTGCCCCAGAAAGCATTGCTCTTGATTTAAAGCTTTTATTGTTTCTAATTTGGGTGTGTAGTTTGCAACACCAGCTCTGATTCTTTTTTACACAGCCTGCCACAAGAATCTGTAAGTGCATCACAGCGATATGATAACTAAACCAACTTGCAAATTTCAGCAAAAAGTATTTAGAATACTGTACTGTATTTTTGGCTGCCTTATTGTACAGTTGTTAGTAATGTGGGGGTAATCAACTTTTCTGTCTCACACGCTCAATCTTTCTACATTTTAAGTCATCTTCAGATACTGTATACAATACACAACTAGGAAATTAAGATAAAATTAAGCACAAATGCAAGATACTTTAGCTGTACAAATTACTGTAGATTGTAGATATGATTAAAGATTGATAATTTGGATAAGAAAACTCCTGGAAAGGATGATGTTGAGTTTGATAAATTGTTGCAAGCCACCAAAAGTGATGCACAGAGAATGAGGGCTTGGAAAAAGAAACACCATGATAAGTTTTATGTTCTAAAACTGCTCATTTAACCTTGACTTGTGAAAAATTCAACTTAGTAAACCAAGCATGTTTTTTATACTGTACCCCGTAAAAATTGTGCTTGCTAGTGTAAATAAAAACCAAACTCCGGGCAGAAGTTCTTTTAAACTTGTCCTAGAAGATAATTAAATAAATATATTGCTTAATAATTATAGTACTGTACAGTACATCAAATGTAAATTCAGAGTTGTAATTGCACATTTTGTTAGATTGGCTGCAGCTTTACCTACCTGTCTCTCTTCAGTTATCATTATTTCTTCTGGTTTGTTCTTTTGTCTATGCCTGCTTTATTCCATCTTGATAAGTACTGTACTGTATACTGTACTGTACATTCATAATTTCTTCCGTTACTAATAAATCTTAATAATATTGTTTAACATTTCCCGAACTCTGTGGTACTATACTTTAGTTTAGTCTATTAACCTATCACAAATGCATTATTCTAGAACAGTTCCATGATGATATAAAAATGTATTTCCCATGTATACCTGTATACTAATGCACCCATACATCTTTACTGCCAAAAATGAAACTCCTATGTCAAACATATCTCAACTATCCAGTATAGTGACTATTACCATAGCAAAGGGTAATCTAATTTTTGTTGATAGGAAATACTAAATTTGAGTTTTGAATACTGTATACTGTATATAGGAAACATCTCTTGCTATAAAACCTTTGGTAAGTAAGTGTGTTTTTTGACCTAACAGTGAATCATCAGATTGTTTTAAACAAAAATATTATAATAATATTAGTGATGTTTTATTGTGAACATACAGTACTACAGTAACAACTTTTTACAGTATAATATTCAGTATTAACACCTTTTTTTTATAGTCTTTGGAAATAGTATTTATCAATGCATTTTTCGTTCATATACAGTATGAATATTTACTTACAGGTATTTGTAATGTAACAGATTGAAACTGGCATGAATTATTTGTAATAAGAATACTGTATCTGCTGCAGGGTGGTGGTGGTATTGTGAATCAACTGCGGCGTAGTTACAGCTCTGGTGAACTGGCTGATGAGGATATGAATCGCAATGTTAAGGCTTTGCCACACATTCCTGATGATGACTATGAAGACCGCGCTCACTCCTCAGGTACTGCTGCCTCTCCTCCACTTACAAGGCAAAGAAAAAGGCAGCAAGCACTGCTGAAGTAGACTTGCCTGTTCTTAATTGGCACATGTTGTCCAACAGTGCTTTGAATCAAAACTAGGAATATGTGAATGTGATAGTCATAGCTGGTAACTGTTGTAGTATTTATTTTATTTCAGAAATTTTGCTCCTTCACTTTTTCTAAATGATTATACAGTATTTGCTTGAATGAGAATGCTATAATTCTGTTGTTTCTACAGTATATGTTTATATAAATGGATTATATTTATCTCATACTTTTGCTTGTACAAGAGGCTCTTTTTCTTTTATATGGTTTAGTGCAGTTAGCTAACTTTTTATAATTCACATCAGTGTTGCACAATAACTTTCTTTTAATTTTTATAGGGTTGGCTTATGAGACCAGTACAGTACTCTGATATCCTTTATAAACGAATGTGGTATATGTATACTTTCTTAGTTATTTTCTAGTCTCCTTCAAATGCATTTTGCTCAGTATACTTTTTACACTCTAAATGTTCATGTGAATTTTGTTTTACCTTGAGTACTGTAGTTTTAAGTGCTGTCAGTACAGTAATTACCCTAAAAAAGAGGCTTTTCTGTTTTTCTGTTCTTGTATGAAATGTGAAATAGATCTTTTGATTTTTGTAGGAAACTGTTACCAACTTTCTTTTGTTTTAAATACAGTAGATTACGGTATACTAAGATATCTTTACTGTATTGTCACATCAGTGATAGATCAAAGAAAATTACTGTATGTAGAAGTATCCTCACTATGCATGTGTCGTAATTTAAGTAGCTTTACAAAGCTGGCCTTAGTGATATCCTGACGCGTATGTGATAATATTAGTGTGGTAAGTCACAGCTTTTTTATATAGACCTTGTATGTACAGTATCTATATTGAGCTTTGATGAGCGATATATATAGTATATGTAAGTAGTCCTGATGAATAAAGAGAGGCCTTTCATTCTTCTTTCTTTTTCATAGACTTAAAACTTAACAAACCTGGGATCTGGTCTTTATATTGGTACTTCTTCAAGCTGTTGGTGATGGTTAATAAACTAATATCTCTCTGGTGTTTCCCTGATGCTGTAACAAAACAATAAGGTTTCTATATCCACATAGGTATCTTAGTCAACCCTGTCTCCATCTATTAGATGCCTCATACTTTTGGCCCCTTTCATCAGCATAAGATGGGACAGGTGCATTAAGTCTCATTATGAAAAAAATTAATACAAATTAATATTTAAGTGGTATTGAGTGACCTTATTTAGCTGATATATATACAGTACAGTATTAAACTCAAGTCATTTAACTGAGTACAGGTAAAATTAATGACTTTTGTAACATCTCTTAAATGATTCATGTCTAGTTAATAATAAATATAGTCCTACCACTGTGTTTCGTGATAATCTTTAGGTAATTTTCACAGGTTTTGTTACTGTTTTTAAGCACACAATAAAGATCAAATAAAAGGACAAAGTAAACATAACATTTGAAAACCATTTATGAAATGCGCACATAAACTAGTGATACCTAATCTAGCCTGGCCAAAGGTTAAGTTAGTTAATTTGTTGATCTTGTTTCATAACCATTTCAAACTAAATTTTTGTACTGTAGACATAAAGATAAACATATACCCAGGTCTGTAATTTTTTGCTTAGTGCAGTCCTTTACTGTATGTTGATTCATGAGTGAGACTTCCATTTTTCACGCTCCACCATTATCATACACTATCTTTTAGCATTGCATGCAGTGTCTTAATCTTCCACTGACTCTGTTATTTACTTTTTAACTTAATTCAGTTACAGGTCATCCATAGTATACCTTAAAATGTCTTTTCTTTCTCTCTCTCTCTCTCTCTTTTTTTTCTCGCCAATTTATGATGTCGGATTTTGTAATTTTATTCTTTCACAGTAGTAATTTTTGGGTTTAATACATCTTCAATCTATTTTCATCATATAATTTTATTATGTGCATGGGTTTACTTTCTGCAGTTTTTTCCCCCACTTTTTCTTCATGGAAAAATTTTTGTTTCACATCTATGCAGAAAGGTTCAAACATACTCGTACACCATATTCCTGACTTCTTGCAAATTCCACATAAGCTTTGGCTTATGCACTCAATGTTTTTCTCTTGTGCTTATCAGTACAATATATTCACTCAGCATGCCTCTCCAAAATTCACCAAAATAATATGCCTCCTGCCCAACTGTTTTATCTGATTCAACTACCAAAATTACATCTTTGATTCTTATGAAAATTTCATTCTATGCCATTGTAATTAAATATTTACCATTGCTCTTTCATATCTCACATTCCTTCCACATATACAGGACAGTTTAAAAGACCCTCATACACTCCTTTCTCAAATCAATATTCACTTCCATAAAGCCATAGGATATATTTGAAAGGTGATATATGAGGTGAATGGGATGCAAAAAATTTAAAATTTGAAAATGAGATGGGGAAGTGAGAGAAATATTGGTCAAGGGTAACTGGGTTTGCCATGGTGGTATAGATGTATTGAAAGAATGGGAACTTAAAAGTTATTAAAATGAATATATTATTTAACTTTGAAATGATATTAGGAGAGAGAGAGAACTAGACCAGGTGGGAGGGTGAAGTGAGGAATTTATTGGTTTGGGGGCAAAACATCATCAAGGAAGCAACTACGGTATGTGTATACATATTCAGAAAGCACCGTGTTAAATGGTTTATTGGGTTGAGTTTGCTGCTGATGGGTGAGGTTCACCTTAGTAAACCTGATGAAAATCTTTGGACCATGTTTTGGAAAGGGAACAACAGAGCAGACGACACAACTGTTTGATTTAGCAGGTAGAGAGGGTGAATGACAATATATGGTGTTGCTCTTTATTCCAGCTAGATGTACACTGTCTTAGTGAAGGATGAAATGTCATAAATTGGATGGGATGGTAACAAAGCAAGATTTGCATACCAGATATTGTTCTGAACAAGAAAACCCCCACTGAGTCAAACTATATGGGGTGACAACGAGTTAAATTAGCTGATAGTTCAAATTGAAGTACGGTGATCATATTTACACACAGCTTCCAGTTTATTGATATTGTGATTTCTTTGAAATTCGGTAAATTAGCATAATGTGGATACCTGACTACTACCTATCCATACATAAAAGAGTACTTACCTGTAAATGAACACTATATACTGTACCTAAATACTGTACATACAATAAGCAAAAATAAAAACAAATAAGAATGTACTGTTAAACAGTTGGAAAGCAGGGAAGAAAATCATATTTCTGTATCAATTTGGTTTGACATATTGTCAGCATTTAGGGGTGGGAATGGCAGCAGAAATTTCATCTACTGTACAAACTTGAGTTGTACAATGTGTTTTATGCAACTTTAGTGTAAGGATAAGATTCGATAAGCCATCTCAACCTCAGTCAACCAACCAGCAGCAGTCTCCCTCACCCAGTAAACCGCTTGGGAAACTTACAACTTCCACTTGTACTGTACAAGAGACTTGTTCCTTTTAGATAAGAAAATTATGGTGTGATGCAGAAAATTAATGTCTCCTATGTAATTTGTGAAAATTATCCATTCTCAAAAGTGGAGTCTATTTACTATATACATTTTTGCAATTTAAAATACTGAGTCATAAAGGGGGTAGGAAATCTAGAGTGTTACTTTGAGCATCAAGGATTTCCTGTACCAAAGTTTTTATGCTTGAAAGCATTTGGTGCTACTGCCACCATGAAAAAAAAATAATTACAGAAAATAAGGTACAAGTTAAAGGAGTGTACCGGTAGACAACTTGGGGTAACTAACATCTGTCTAAGGCATTATGCACACAAAAATCTGTTTTATTATTTCTATAATTTTTTGATGAAAATTAATCTCTCTCAGCATAATTTTTAGCCCCTCCTCTAAAACCAGTTTATTTTTTCTATGTAAAGTGTTTTAAGCATTTAGGTACATCTCAACAATATCATATAAACTGTTCTGATATTTCTTTCTCATACACCTTGATTTTTCCTTAATTTTGTGATGAACTAGGGGAAGTACAGCACACACAACAGTCTCCCTTAATAGTGTGACTTTTAGTTAAGTTAGGTTTGTTTGATACACCAGGGAATGCTTACAAATCAGCCCAGGGTATCAGCTACTTTGGCTTGGCATTATATCTCAGAGGATAGGTGTATATGTCCCTGTGATCCTGATATTTGTTAGCCAGTTAGGTTATTTTGGTAAGCTGGTGGGGATATGGTTATGATGACACATGCCAAATATCATTTACACACTGCTTCTTAAGTGGGGATCTAATGGCCTGCCAGTACAATAAGGTAAACAAGCTGCCATTGTACCTATAGTGTCCCTTCATTTACTCTTTAATTGTACCCTTTTTTGTGTGGAGGGGGGGGGTAATCATCATCATCTCTAAAGAAAATAAATGTTCAGAATCCTCACTCTTGACATTTATCCATTATAATTTACATCATATTCTCCTACTGTCTCTACCTCTCTTTGTTAAAGGGATATCTAAGGTATTTGATTACTTTGGTATTTTTTTGTAACATGTCAGATGTCAATTTGGAGTAGAATTTTGAAATGCATGCAATACTGAAAATATCTTATGTCATTATTCCTTACTAACCATTCATGAAACTTTATATTGATTCCTATACTTCACTCTATAGGGTTTCCAGCAGAAATTTATAGTTTTTGCATTATTTTCACTTTTTTATTTCACAGAAGGAAGTACAAGTTTGCAGGAATATTTTTTGTTTACTTCTAACTCGGCCAATCAGCAGAAGAGTCGATATCACATGAAACTCATGCATATGTACTTAATTCTTACTTTGCAAATTCAAGGCTGATCTCTATGTCACGTGAATTTGAATTAGTGGGAAAATGGTTTTTATCTGTGGAGGATGCTCGTTGGAAGATTCAATGACTATTTGAGAAAGAAGTTTCAATTGTTGACATCTTTAGGTCTCATGGCATTCTTTTTGGTTCAGTAAAGTGTCCAAAGTGTAATTCAGACTGTCTGTATTGTCAATCCTCCTCTTTCTGTTAATTAAGGTAAATAAGGTTAAGTTTACACACCAGGTGAGTCTGGGGGGGGGAGGGGCATGGCATTGGGTCAGGTTTTTCTGGTAAGGTTAAGTTACACATGTTTACAGTACAGTACTCATATTTAGAGTTGTTTTTGCATGTTTTTACCCCAAAATGTTGGTAATTGGGGGATATACAGTACAGTATCTCCAAAAGTGCTCGTATCCTCTAGAAATGAAGATCATATTGCTTATGCTGTTGAGGGATATATCATTTCATTAATTGCATCATCACACATGTGAACCCAGACAATAGGTTTAGACTTTTGAAATGTTATTATCATACGGATATATTTTAGTCCCGTACAGTAGCTCTCTCCTATTCCTTCTTATTGACTGTACAGTACTATAAACTGCATGAGTTGCAACAGAAGGGAGAAAAGTATGCTTATATAACTTTGTCATTGTTGAGTTTAACAAAATGAATGGGTGAACTTCTACAATGTTTGAAGGTTATGCTGTATAAGTATTCAAATTGTTTGATAAATTTATATACAGGGATCTTACAAAAAAATGCAGTTCTTACAAATTTTTGTGGTGGTTGCATTATTGCTTGTATTATAACAGCAACATTGTTCTCACTTGTGCAAGACACCAAACATCAACAAGTGAGGAAAATGTTGCTGTTGTAGTTCAAGTATTCACACAATATCCATGAAAATCTACAAGTTACATATTTCTGAGACACCCTGTATACTGTCTGTGGGAAATATACTGTACTAAAGTGTTCAGAAAATGGTTTCAGTGTGTATACTGTTATACAGTATATGTACATTAATATGAAAATGACAGTTGCTGTATTTAAGACATTCAAGACTGCAAGCTGTAAAATGAATTTGTTTGTCAAGTTCATGAAATGGTGTGAGAACCTCAGTGCATTTTAATTACCGTTTATGTATATTGTAGCAAATTGTGGGAGTGTTTAGAGCAGTTATTCTTTCAGGGCCTTTTGAAGGGGAACCACGTATTCGTGCTGAGAGTGATGCAGCATACAAGCCTCGAGGATCATCAGCAAGTCGTGGGGTCCGCTCTAGCAAGACTAGATCAGCTGATGTGTCTGACGTTTATTACCAGGATGTCCCAGATGAGGCCGTCCAGCGTAGACGCTCCCCACGCACACAGGACACAGCCAGGTATATACTGTGATAAATTAGTTATGGTTTTTTAATATGCTAAAGAATAGTAGTTGGGAATTTAGGCTGGTATTTGGAGTAGAGACAGACCCACAAAGTAGTACAGTACTGTATAGAAGGCCTGGCATATATAGATTATGCCATGTTAAAGAGAGTGTAATAGATTATTTTGATATATTTACTTACATATTAAATTACCGGTAGATCTAGCATGTGCAGTATCTACAGATTTGGACAATAGCTCTTCCATCTTTTTATTGTAGATTAGTCTAGTATAACATGTTTCTAGTATTTTTTCTGGCTATGAATAGAAATTTCCAATATATATTCTTTAATCTACATCAGGATGTAGCATGAAGACAACAGATTCTATGGTTATCAACACTATTTTTTTTGGATGTTATAGATTTTGTATATCATAAGAATAAATAAGATCAGTTATACTAAAATGTGGTAGCTTTAAAATTTGTATTTCTATCTTGTAGTTTTCAGAAGATGAAAAAAAATCGGCTTTGACTGTCTCCACCTTTTAAAGACTGCATGAAGTAAGTCAAGGTGGAGACAGATTTTAGGTTTGGTTATACAGTACAGATAATTCAACCTGGAGATTTATTCAAGCATCTTGAAAATTTTATAGTTCTTCCATGCACCGACAAAATTATTTAGAATTGCAAAATTTTATCATTATCATTCCAGGTGATTAAAGAATGTTCAGTTTTGAAAAACTTTGGAGTTTCTCTGTGCTCAACAGTGCTGAGTGACTGCTAGTCATTACATGTGCTCACCACTTGTCAGACAGTTAACATTAACCTTGACTCAATTTTAGGAAGTTGCTGTAATTGAAAGATATTGCAGTACATTAGTACAGTATATCGTACTCGGAAGTAATATAAAATATACAGTACCTCAGGCTTCATTTATATTGACTTTGTGTTCCATCTAAAATCTCTCTTATTTTTCTACCATCTTCTATTATGGAATTTTATTTTTATTTTGAATGATGTCTTATTCTTTAACATGAGCCACTGCATTTGGTCTGCAAATTTGAATTTCTTCAAAAATCTTCATTTGTTGATGTAATAAATGGGGCTATTAATTTTATTCCTAAAATTTGTGGAAGATTCCCAGTTATCTTTAGCATATTTAAGTTGTAATAATCAGAAATTAGTTATATCAAGCTATGGATAACTTCAATGACATTTTATGGGATTTTCATAGCAGAAGAGGATACAGCATTGTCTTGTTTTATTTTAGTTATAAATAACCTAAAGTAACTTATGTCATGAATTTTTATTTATTTATAGGACCTTTATAAATCAGCAATTTCTTTTTTATTTGACTGAAATTATTTTGTTTTACTTGTTATTTTAATATTAATCATTCCCTTTAAGACACATGAGGATACTAGTATTTGTTTTTGGGGTTTCTTATGGAGTTTTAAAAGTTTAACTAATTATATGTTTCATCAACAGAAATGTCAATTACTTTGAATACATGTTAAAATAGTTTTGCAGTTACATATGGTATTTGCAATGTGGTTGAAGGCTTAAGGGTATTATTTAGCTCTTCTGGGAATATCTGCAAAATCATGGGATATATGTTGCACTTTGTTTGAAACATTAGTTGCACAAAGTTGATTGAGCTTATTAGGTTGGGTTGTTTTGCTGATAACTGCAGTAAAACTTTAGCCCATTTTTTCTTACATGTACTAGCAAAGCATTGCCCTGGAAGTATCCCCAGGTTTTGGCTATGCAAATGACTTTGATGCCCTAAACTTAAACTGCTTTTAAGATTCATTGGTTGTCATCATTGAAAGATATGAATGAAAAATGAAAATTACTATATACCCTGTATATGAAAAACAAAAATTCCATGTAATAGTAATTTCCCCTTTTTGTGTTCATAAGTCAAATAACCTGTACTGTACAATATTGAGAATGTGATCTGCCAATTGAAATTTAATGGGGAACATTAAACATAGTATGTCATTGGTAGTAATTCATGATTAATGATGAGCACTCAAGTTGAACTTTTAGAAGCAGCATAAGCATGGGTAACTTATATGCAGACTGTAAGTCAGACAGTATGCTGCTCCCAGTAGTAATTTATCCCCTTTGATGAGTTTAAGTGTTATATGAATTTTTTAAGGCATATCATGGCATCAAGAATATAAAATAATTACCTTTGTTTTGTGACGTTTGCCTCTCCCTCAAGAAGCGTTGATCTCAACCATGCCCGTAAACCCATGGCAAATTTTCCCCTGTAAAATTAAAATTACAGTAAATGGAAAATAAAAATATTAATTAATTTTTCCAGCTATTGCTCTCTTTGTTCCATTCCTAAAACAGTACAGTAAATAGAAATGTTCTAGATCTACCCCAACTTTTGTTTCCTTTAAGAATGCTTATGCAATATGCTTCTTTTTTCTCATCTAGATCTTTTAAAGTTATGACTACCAGTTAGTTTGTTCAGTATTCGGGGCTTAAGTTGCTGATGCCTTTAACTAAGGCTTCCTTCCCAAATTTAGTGACAATGCTAGTCTGTTCAAAACTCATTTTTGTAACTGTGGTGAGCTCTAGACTTGCTTATAAAAATAAGGACGATTTTAAGGTTTGTATATCAAGATAACAGTCTTCATCTAGTTGGGTTTGAAAGGGCACATTGCAGAAAGTTTTATGGTTGTTATTGTTATGCTTCTTTGTAAGGGCATGTATCTTGGATAAGCTCCTCATATTCATATTCTTCATATGGATAACATATTTTTGAGATTGGTGTTCTTCCTCACTGTAATTATATTACTATTTTACATGTGGCCATGGTTTTAATGGACTTTTCTTCTGCCAGACGAAATAAGCTAATACGTATATAAAAGAGACTATTTTCTCCAACTTTGGGTATAACCAGTCCCAAGCAGTCTATTGCATTGTAGTTGTACAAACAAGGAGTTGGGTGCCATGTAATGTAAAGTTGCTTGGGAAAAGAATAGGCCCTATTCTGGCCAGTGATGACGGATCCCTCGAGAAATAGAAGATAAAGCCTGAACATTATTTATTTATTTTATCTTTGTTTTCGATAGTGGCATCATGTTTAGTCTGCTCTGACTTGGACTTGTAGGCATGGTTGGAATTGACTATCTGTGAGGATGGAGGAAGTATCGTAACATTTCTCTGTGTCAGAGCTGATTTCCTCCCCAGTCATACCTATAAATCTTCAAGTACAATGTAGTGAAGATATGACCTTTTATAAATTACTTTCAGAAATATGCTTCTGGTCTTCACCTCTTTTCTTTCCCCTTTTCTTAATGCTTAATTCCATTATTCCTTGCTAGAAGAGCACCACAAACTCCTGATGCACCAGCCAGATTAGTATGGAACACTTGTCAACATTGCACAATTCATTACTGGTGATTTGAAGATAATTTTAGCACAACTCATTGTAAATTAAGTTTAGTACAGTATACATATACCCATTAAATCATGTATTTTTTTCAGTTTTATCTGTCTCTCTCATTATGTTTTGTTTGTTACACAGCATGAATCCACTTGTATGCTCCACTTCACATTCATCTCTGGTAATTTGCTACATTTGATACGGAGGATAATTTTTTTCTTTGTCATTTATGGCATGTAATTTTGAAGTGTAAGCTTATTTTAGTTCTCTTTATTTGATTTAAAGTTTTCTCACTTTTCCTGATTTGCATTGCACTGTGTATGTTGGTAGTATGCATGTGGGAGTCTGGTGCACTGTCTGTGTTTCAGTCGCGTTCTTTCTGCGGATGACCTGACCTCGGGCTACTCTAGTGGTGAAGCAGATGCTGGTGACCTGATCTACGACCTTAGGCATGAACCTGCTCTTCATACTGAACTTGAGCCAATCCTAGAGCCAAAAAGGTCGACCAAGGTTCGACGTACTCAAAGTCTCTCGGCCTCAACCCTTAGTCTCCATCGCTCTCAAAGAGCTGGAGTGAGGAGGGGAGAATTGAGAGAGGGATTGAGATTAGGTAATGCAGGTCGTGGATCAGGACCAGTTGATGACCTGGGTGCCCCTACCTCTTACAGTAGCTCAGGTCACCCCGCTGCCCCCCATCATGGGTCAAGTTTCAAGCGATCACGACCTGGTGAGGTGAGTGATGGAAATACGGTTGAAAGTTATCTGTGTAAGTGTGTAAATGAGATGGTGTTTTTGTCCTGACAGTATCTTATGTTTATCGTCTTAAATTTTTGCCATAAAATGCACAAAATTTGTATACTGTATAAGTAATTTGATTATGCAACCATTTTCTGAATAATTGGAATACTGTACAGTACTTCAAACCTGTTGGAATATTATTTATTCATTTACCGGGTATTCATTTTTGTTGTCTTTTTCTTGTATATGAAATTTTATAGCTTGTAATTCCAAGCATTTTCAGAAGTTAAACCAGTTATCTGTACACTCTGTCTTCTTTCACATCTTCGAGGATCCTGATGAAGTAAAATCTTAAATTATATATGCACTTAATAAAAAATGAATATTCAAACGTGATGTATGTCATTAATTAGTTCTGCCCTCGGTTGTGGTCGGTGATTGGTCAAATGAGCCCAGTATTAATCTACCTAACAATTAGAAATGGAGCTTAGTCCTAAAGTCCCATTCCTAATTATTCAGCTGAGGCTGTTACGGCTTAGGCCTATTTGACCTGATGTGGTTATAGTCAGTTGGAACTTTAGTAGATATATATTATATTTGTAAACTGAGAAGCTACACGAAGTTAAGCTTTGTGGTACTTTCAATCGAATGGTTATACATAGAAATTAGTATGGATATGAGTTCTACCAAGGGTCAAAATAGTGTAATTGTAAATAGAACGTGAGGAGCATTGTTAGAGTGTATGTCACAGAGAGGTGCGAGTCTATTCAGAAGTGCAGAATTAAGGAGTGTTAATTAGAGATGAGAGAACCAGCTGCATAAAGATAACGGGCATGTTAGTGTGAAATGTGAAAGTATTGTACAGTATAAAA